TTCACAATTGTATGTCTTCTACGAAAGAATGGTTTAACCCAATTTTACCTGAAATGATCTAATAAGCATGTCCTTTGTTCCAGTGAGTTTTATCAAGCCCCTAAAAGGTAGATATCTTTTATCTTTTTGGCAGGTACTCAGCCATGGTTTTTCTTGAGGCAGAGATGTCATGGAATGTGTTGATCTCACCTAGCCAGCTGGATCGCAAGGGCCTCCTGCTCCGCAAGGCTATCATTGTGCGTCTTCTGGAGGATGTCACAAACAGGAGGGCCTCCAAAGAGCATGGCTACTACGTTGCTGTTAGTCAGCTGAAGGCAATATCTGAAGGGAAAGTGCGTGAGCTAACTGGAGATGTTCTGTTCCCAATTTCATTTACCTGCATCACACAGAAGCCTATGAAGGGTGAGGTCATGGTTGGCCATGTTGACAGGATCCTCAAGCACGGCGTGTTCCTCAAATCCGGACCTGTGGAGAGCATCTTCCTGGCTGAGAAGTCGATGAGCGACTATAAGTACATAGGTGGGGAGAATGCGATGTTCATGAACGACCACTCGAAGCTGGAGAAGGACACTGCTGTGCGCTTCAAGGTCCTGGGGTTCCGCTGGATGGAGGCTGACCGCCAGTTCCAGCTTCTTGCTACGATCGCTGGTGACTTCCTCGGGCCGCTGTGAACTGCTTCCACAGGTTAAAATGGGTTTCCGATGTACATTGCTCGTTAGATGGTGGATGGATAGGTGGATCTGATGTGTAGAATTAAACTTTGCTACCAGTAGTTTGCTTTGTAGCGCCTGAGACATGGTAGGTCTTCTAGATGCTGATGCTGGTGACATTTGGCTCCGGTTTGAACGTATCAGTGTACTGTGATGAACACGCGTTGTCCAGGGATGTTCCCTTTCTATGCTTTGCTTGGAAGCTCACGCTACATGGTGCTCCCTGATCTGGTCAGTAGTTGAATTTGCATCTGTAGTGCTGCTTGACTTGCATTGCATATTGATACACCCATAGTTACATGTACCCATAACATCTGTCATCATATTAGCTCACTGCCGGAAAGCTTCTTCCTCTGAGCATGTTCATCTATCTCGTCTGAAATATACAGTCCTTCGATTTTCATAGTCAAAATTGAAAGGGGATTTTTTAAGTACCAGCATAGACATCACATAGCACAGCAGAAGAATAATAGGATTCACATCTTCAAACCCTCAAAGATATAAACATCACTCATACAGCAACAAAAGCATAGTACATCTACTCTGGTAAACAGTCCTATTACATAACCATGTCCTTCATAAGGTAGTTTGTCTATTATTACAATAGAACTGCCTGGTTCAACATGTTTCAGATAGCTAGAAACTAGTGCATGTTCTTCATCAGGCCAACCATCTTTATTATAACTACACATTCAGGCATTTCGGTGATGAGATCAACCTTCGGTGCTTGATGACTTGACGACGGTGACAGGGCAGGTTGCGTTGTTCACGACATAGTCGCTGACACTTCCCAAGAGCACCCTGCAGGAAGATATCAGAAGATCAGCACTGCTATTAGCGAAGACAGTAGGGCCAATTGCCCACAAGTCACAAGAACAGTTTGCGAGCAGCCTGGTACAACCTCTTGAGCTTGCCAAGGCCCCTGCTTCCTATAACCAAGCAGCTCAACGGGGTGTCATGGATAACTTGACAGAGCTTCTCACGCGGATCTCCCCACAGGACTTTCACAACCACCATAATCTGTTTGCCAGAAGAAACTCAAAACCTCAATAAAGCAACATTGAGAAGGAAATGGCAGATAACACGATCAAAGACTTGGTGTGCTCGCCTCCTTCTGTGTAGCTGTAGTGTTCAGGAGGTCCAAGGTTTCTATGTCGGGTTTTGCTCCATATTTCTTCGCGATAATAGGGTCAGAGAATTCCGAGAGGGGAATCAACGCTATTATATTTAACAAAAAAGAAAGTGCGGTGAGATTATTGAGCATTCAGGCCATCACATAACGACATTGATGATGTTAAATCATGTTAGGTTGAAAGTAACATCAACATTGAAAATATTTTGCCCTACATTGATGCTATGAAATAGCAAAAGCACAGATAGTAAGCTGAACCATATGGATTACTGGAATTGATCACTCAATCTTAAAGCGGCAGAATAGGATGAATGGAACAGATAAAAAGAAAATCTGAATTTCACTTTATGTATCCGAAATCCGAAATATATACTGTCGGTGTAAGAATACCAGGTCCTGTTCCTTACTCTAGCATCACCATCTCTAACGAAATTTTGATGTCACAGGCTAGCCAGGTTAATACTCAGAGAAGATGAAAGTGAACGGCCCCTGAGTAGTTTGCAATGTTTACTAGCAGCAAATTTACTGACTAGCAGGCTAAAAATCAGTTGAAAGCAGTGGCCTCTTTCTGAAGAAAATGGAAAACAGCTTTGACCTCTGAGCTGAACAAAACAAAGGCTTATGGTCAATGTGACTTCACAAAGGCAGCATATGGTAGTTAGCAAGTCTTCCATACGAAATGGTACTGAACTAGCAATAGCATCCACTGGCGGCCCACCATTAGAAAATCGAGTAAACTGATGATGAAGTTGACACAGATTTAATTTAATGCATGATTAGTTGCAGGCACACCTCACACCAATTATCTCTACCCCAAATCTTTAGGTTAAAAGGTAGGTCGTGATCCAGCTTTAGGAAAGCATGGTAAACCGAATAAAGGAAATAAATCATTCCAGACTGGAATAGCAAAGATACGATGCCGAGGATGCTAGCTTCAACAACACACATCAGATCAACAACTATCACTCCGAATCCCAAATCTGGATTAGATGGGCTCCCTACTTTCTCCAAACACAGGAGAGGGATACCAGTAGGACATGGTTATTTCTTTTCTAAAAATTATTGTGGACTTCGGATGTGATGATCGGCAGGAACAAGTTCTGCAGCCTTTTTTTTGCAGCAGAAACAGTAACTCCAACAAGCCGCAAGCAGAGGCAGGTAAGGCAAGAAGGCCAAGAATCACAACAACAACCGCGCGCAGATTGATGGGCAAGATCAGTCGTTCCAATCAATCGCCTTGTACATGTCACGCACGGCATCGATCTTTGCAGCAAGTAATCGTAGGCTTTGCGGATCTTTAATGGCCGCGAAATCGTGCTAGCGCTTGTGTTTGTGGGGGGAAAAGTGGAAAACTGGTAGCGAGAAAGATGAGGAACGGCTAGGTAGCAGTAGCACTAGCACCAACACCTAGGAATTGCAATTGCAAGCACCAAGCAAAGGGTACGAGGAGGAGGAGGAGGAGGTGGTGGAGATTGGAGAAAGGGTGCGTACGGGAGCCGGTGGATTCCCAGAGGATGGCCTCGCTCTGCTCGTAGTCGGGCTCCTTGATGACGTGCAGCAGCAGCAGGTGGTCGCCGGCGCGCAGAAGGTTGGCCGCCGCCCACCGCAGCGCCGCCCGGCTCCCCTCCGAGAAGTCCGTCGCCAGCCCCACCCACCTCTCGCCCTCCACGCCGGCCATCTCCTCCTCAATAACCTCTCCTTCTCCTCCTCGTACAGGTTCTTGACCTCGTGGAGTCGTGGTGGTGGTGGTGGCGGCGTCGTGGGGGTCACTGTAACTGTATGGACTGCGGAAGGCGGTGGTGGAGCCGTGGAGGTGGCCTCCGGTCTATTTGATATTTTGATTGATGCCAAAGGACACTTGCCACCGCCCACGGATGTGCATGTGGCAGTGGCAGTGGCAGTGGCAGTGACAATGATCCCTCCGCTGGTTCTGTTCGCTTAGACTATTTTTTAGCCGTATTATTCTTCTTTAAAAAAAATACTATTAAATCAGTCGAAACAAACTTATGTACCAGCCGAAAGACTAGATTCAACGGTTTTCTGTTTGGTGTGTTTCTCGCTCCTTTCCTCGCCTCGTCTCTTCTTGTGCCAAACCTAATGCAGACGTTTTTCGTTACCAACTTGTCATCATTTTTTTTTCTGTGACCTCTCATAAGTATGGTGTGATTGGACCCAGGGGCTAAAGTTTACGCTATATTCGTTTGGACTTGTTTGATTTATAAGTCATGACTGAAAATACTGTTGTCTAGTTTGGTGTGAGAGAAAAATAATATTCGTTGGCTGATAAGCCATGACTTATAAGTCAAATATGATCGAGCGAACAGGCTGTTAGTCCGTGTCACATCGAACGTTCGGATACTAACTAGGAGGACTAAACATGAGCTAATTAAAAAACTAATTACACAGAAATAGACTAATTATCAAAATAATTCTATTAAGCCTAATTAATCCATCATTAGCATATATTTACTGTAGCATCACATTGTCAAATCATGGACTAATTAGGCTTAATAGATTCGTCTCGTAAATTAGTTTCAATCTGTGCAGTTAGTTTTATAATTAGTCTATATTTAATACTCCAAATTAATATTCAAACATCCAATGTGACGTACACTAAAATTTGGTGCAGGGAACCAAACAATCCCTAGATTAGGCTATATAAACATAAAGGCAAGAGGCATTACGCTACGCTACAGAACACGTCGTCTGAAAACGACGGCTGCTGCTCAAATTTGTCAAAGGTCATCTGCAGTTTAATCTGCAGTCTGCAGATGACCGTGTCTGCATAATGATATGATCAGGCTGGTCGGCCAATTGGAAAGGCAGACACCAAGCAACTTGCTTCACATGTAGCACTTTTTTTTTTACAGAAATTCAACTGCTACATCTACAAAGACAGAAGGAAACGTGAGATGTTTGCAGCACCACGGCACTACAGATTCCACAGCCCTTGATCCATCTAGAACGAACGAGCGATGGACCAACAGCTAGCATTAGATTCCTCATCCAATGATCACCACATTGACCTTACTTGCCTGCCACAGCTAGTCAGATGGTGCTAAAATATGCTGCCTGCGCTTTTCGTCGCCTTCTGGATGGTTGTCTAGGACCCAATGCAAAACTGGGTTGGAGGCTATATGCTGCGCCTTTTCTACTTCCTATTCTCTGTCCACTTGTTTTATGAACGGCTTGGAAGGACTGGATATATAACCCTTCACAGGTCCTACTAATGACATGGCTTCTTGTAGTGCCTCCAGTAGATGATCTGGGTGTTCCTCGATGCGCACAGGACCAAACTGTTCTGGTATTTTGCGCAAAGCCCGTCCAACGATCTGCGATGTATGCAGGGAAAAAAATTATGAGAAAAAACCACATACATGTACTGATGTACAAGCACATGTCAGCACTGTGTTTTCAGCAGGAGCAGAATTAATATAACAGTAAAGAAACAAAATCCATAATAGGAAAAGTAGACATGCTGCATCATCAACAAATCATGGGGAAGTTACTAGTTGTTCGGTGCAAAACTATAACTTTTCATGCTACCAGACTATTTGATGAAGACCCAAAGATCATTCCTCTAGGAAAGGGATGAAGATTTAATATCACTAGCTCAAACCTTGCGAGCATAGCCACCATATGCAATCCCTCCGATTAAAGCTTGGTGAGAACTGGCCATTTCAAAGGCTGCGATCCCTGAATTTCAATTCGATAAAACAGCCTTTCAGAAAGACATTCTCCCCATAATGATAGGTTGTATAAGTTTTTCTAAAAATTACAAATTGAACAAGAAAGGGAATGTAAGAAACAAATTACCAGCAACAGAAATAGATTGGAAAAGATCAGCTTTCTTTAGGCAATCAATAGTGTATGAGTTGGTGCCACCGGCCAACTGATAGAAGCCATGAAAACCACAGGCACAGCAAATACTTAGAAAACACAAGGACTGAGAGCCACAGGCACATAAGGCCCAAAACATTTCAATTGTTGGCTTCATTTACCAGGAGGTCTTTCTGACATTGAAGCCACATGAGCGGCAAAAGAAACTGTCTCCCTTGTTGCACCTCGACCAATGTCGCCACTCATAGGTCGCCCATCTAACGGTTCCGAAAGAAAAGCAATTTAGAAAGTCCCAGCCAAAAAACACACACACATTAGGTTTACAAGATCAAAATTGAAAAGTAGTACATAAATCATATTTATGCCAGGTTCCCACCACATCAAGATGATTAGCAAAGTCAACAACATCAACAACATAGCCTTTCAGTCCCAAGCAAGTTGGGGTAGGCTAGAGTTGAAACCCCACCACATCAAGATGATTAGCAAAGTGATGCTAGCATTTACAGAAAATGTAACAGCAAACTGAATAGATTAAAAACTACATAATCAAGACAATCTCAAATATCTAGTTTGAAGCTAACATGATTTTTTTTATATAAAAATTGTTAATAAGGTCATGAACAAGGATGCATCTAACACTGAAGTATACACACAATGTTGGAAAACAGCAATTGAGTAATCATTCTCTTGAGAACTAACCTGCCAAAGATTATACCCTTTAAAATGGGACTCCGTTATTGTGTACATTGCATTCATGAGATCAACAGTTGATTCACCTATATCAGGAAGGCTAACCTGAAAAGAGCAAACTTTCACATTAATAATGATGGAATGGAAGATTTTTTTTTTTCAATAAAAAGACACGGTTACATTTTCAGCAATACAAATATGTGGATACAGCCTGAAACCAACTGTGGAACCTACTGCAACCAGCTTCACATTATTGATGGACCGACTCAAGCTGTCCCAGAGGGTATTGAACATGTCAGTTCCCCTACAGTGGTCAGAATATTATCAGATCAAGTGTAATATGAAATGGAGAAAAGTCAAAGGTAACTCAACCAACAAAGATAAGCGAACATACATTCCAGTGGTATGTATCTCTTTTGCATCAACATCGTTACTTTTCAATAATTCAGCAGTCATAGTAGGGTCCCGAACATAGGACACAGCTCCTGAAATGGTTTCAAGCAAAGCTTGCAGCTTCTATAAGATACATAAGGGAGGAGGGATCAGAATTAACAAAAGGTTACTTTACATTTGCATCAAATGAAGGCTATGTGCAATCAAAGGTATTGCTTGTCTTACTAACACCGAGTGAACTCTTCAGATGACAAAAGGACAAGAACGGAACGAAGAAGAAATACAGCACTCACTTATTCTGTCATACGGGCAAACTGGCAAGCATCGACCGCATCCATAGCACCGCTCTGTAATTACACCACCCTACACAAGGCAGAGTCATCTCATAAAGAAACTGAAGCTCATGAAGAAGATAATAGGAGCAGAATAAAAGAACTAAAGAACCAAAGCAACTGATACCTCATATTTACCACGTAAAGGATCAGATCGAGTGTGCTCTCCACCAACCATGGAACGCTCTAGTGATATTGCATCAGCCGGGCAAACTTTCTCACATGGCTTTGAGCAATCCGGTGGGCAATCCTCAGGATCAAACTCTAGAGAATAAACAATGTTTTTCAGACACAATGAAGTTCAAAGTTAACAGGTTGGCAAATACTTGTAGTGAAAGCAGGAAACCAATAGCAATATCATAATCAAAATAAAACAATACTTTTGAAGTGACATTAATGATAATGCATTAAGTTAAACAAAAAAGTATAACAGATAATTTCCGAAGCAGCATGTTCTTACCAGCTTTACGGAAATGAAGATCTCTGCAATCATCGTTAACACTAATCATCACCCATGGCCTTTGAACTGCTGGTACAATTGATGCCGCTACATCAATACCCTCATTCACTGCACCCACCACAGATGCATCTGCGGCACAATCAATGCAATCCACTGCATGCACAGAACTGTCCGTAATTCATAAGTGTATAACACCAAGTTTTGTCTTTTATATTGGTAAAATCACTGTAGACACGCAGATAGAAAAATATAACTGTTCACTTAGCAGAATTATATACCCACCACAAACTTTTGTTATTTATCTAACAACTCAAATGTTGGATGAACTAATCATTGACTCTGCTCGGTTGTGCTATTTCTGCAGCAGCTGCAGCTGCTGGCTGCCTACTTCCTTCTTTCCAACTACTGTAGACGTGAAGTCCTTGCTGCAGCAGCAAGCACTTCCGATCAGGCTGATTAATTTTACTTCCATGAAGCTTTGAAGTTGTCATGCATTAAGAGAAGTTTCTCCAATCAATTCCTCAGGAGATATTGAATAGGAGCTTCATAACAAAAGTTGCAATACACATGTGTTTAGTTTGTATTCCATTTGGCGTGTAAGATGCAGTGTAGTCCTATCTTGCCCTGCTTTTCAAAATCGCCAAGTCCTTGTGTTCTATTAATGTCAGTGTTTTAAGTTTTTTTTTCTGCAATTTGGGTTGTTAAACAAAAGGTCAAACTACAAGTAATTAAAATCTCAATTCTTGACTGACTGAAGATATATATAAAGCATGTGGACTGCAACGTGGACTGATACAATGCCAATCTAAAAATGCTAAAAATATCCAATCCAAAAGAATGGCTTCCAATTGAATCACCTCCAGCAAGAGTGTAGACAAGAGAGAGATTCCTGACATCAACAGCATCCTGCATGAACATCAAAAAATGTAAACAACGTGAGGATTCTAGTGCAGTCAGTCAGTAATTCTTCATCTTCACTCGTTGTACATATGCATCGTGGCCACAACTACTCTCATTGTGCTAGCACATCAAACACCAACTGCACCCGCGAATTGTAGTTTACAGGTTAAACCTGATTCACTTTTCCTTCTAAGCTAACACCAGCTGAAAACGGGTAACCCCCAGCCCGTCTGCCTTTCAGGCTTCAGTGTTTCACCATCAGATGGGGATGAAGCACTCGCTGCTCTCCCTGTCCATTTGATCCTACTGTGCACAGCCGGTAGTCCCTGGAGCCCAATCTAGTGACGGGTGAAGAAGCAAGGTGGAAGGGGCATGGACGCATGGTACCTCGAAGCTGGCGCCGCAGCTGAGCTTGACCCAGTCGCCGCGGCGGAGGGCCGCGACCTGCGGCGGGTGGTCGCCGGCAAGGCGGACCCGGCGGGAGTGGGATACGGCGGAGGCCGTGGCCCGGACGGCCGCGTGGGAGGCGAGGAGAGGCGGCGGCGGGACCGGGACGGCGGCCATGGCTGGCTCTAGTGACGGACCTAGTTTTTTACATCTGGCCATGCGCAGCAAAAAAAAAAAAAAATTATTATGCAATTCGATAAACCATATATAATTTGATAAAACTATATTCTCATTCGGTAAAAACATATTCTAAAACCATATAAATTATTCAAATGAAATATAAAATACTTTAAAATATAGCCATATAAGAGACTTACCGACTGGAGTTCTGGACCTCGCGCGTCGCTCTGAGTAGCCGAGCAGATCGCCGTCGCCACCTCGCCGGATTGTCGCGGGCTCGCGGCTTCTCCTTTCCCGTCGCGGCGTCGCCCTGAAGGAGCCAGGCAGGAGCAGATCGTCGCGGACTCGCGGCCAGGAAATCCCGCGGATCGCCGTCGGCCGTCAGCCCGTCGCCGTCTCCAACTCTCCCGTCTAATCGTCTTCTCGGCTTCTCCAGTTCTCCTCGTCCTCGATCGAGAATTCGAGATGTGTCACAGCGCCACTCAGTAGTTACTCCGTCCACGGAGTCCGCGCCTGCTAGGTGCTAGCAAGATCGCGGAACCGAGAGTCCAGGACGGAAGCCAAAGCACCGATTGTTTCTTTTTTTTATTTTTTTTACATTGAAAATTTCTACCTATCTCTATGACTGGCGGACCCCAAGGTATGCGGTGGCCCACTGTCGGTGTTTCGGACCAGGGGGTCCTCAACCAACTAGTGAATTTGTTCTGCGTGCTCCCGATCCGGATGGTGATGCAAAGAGACACAAGGTTTATACTGGTTCAGGCAATCGAGGCCCTACTTCCAGTCTGAGAGATCGATCTTGTATTCCTTGCACCGAGGTGCTCGTAGTAGGGGGTTACAAGCTAAAGGAGAGAAGGAGTTGGTCCTAGGTCTCGGCAGTAGTGCCGCAAGGGCCGCTTGAGACGTTGCTCTCTGGCCGGCAGGAGTGTGCGTGTGTGTGTTACTGTGTGTTCCCCTCTAAAACAACCTGTGTCCTCTCCTTTTATAGCATGAAGGGAGGACTTGGGCGGTACATGAGCTGACTATACGGCGTCGTGTGAACAGAGGCGGCGTGTCCGGGACCCGTAGCTCTGTTCTCGTGGCGGCGGGCTGGCCGGAGTGGTCCATCCTTGAGTACGGGGCGGCGTGGTCATCCCATTAGGGTCTCAAGCGCCGTGGGAGCCCCGGAATGCCTCGAAGTGGACGCGCGGCGGCGAACGTGCAAGCCATCGTGGGACGGACCGACTGCGCGACGCCGAGGCTTGGTCGATGCCGAGGGCCGGCACTCACGGTGGGGGGTCTCGGTGAGGCACGCACCCCCAAGATCGCCGAGGCCCCTGTATGCAAAGGCCGAGGCCTTGAGCGGCGGCCGATCATTGGTACAGCGTTTGGACACAAGTGGTCGGTAATCCCGTCGCATCTTTCCCCCACCGGTATGGTGCCGATCGTGGACACAGTGGTAGGCACAAGTGGTCGGTAATCCCCGTCGCGTCCCTTTCCAAAGCCGGTATGGTGCCGATCGTGGACACAGTGGTAGGACACGGTGGCTTCGTCCGGCCGGCAAGATGATACTGATGCGACTGGTCGCGTCGGCCATCCTATGGCGTTGAGCCACCGTCCGGCTGAGATTGCGGGAGTGGTTGAAGCATTAATGAGACATGACGAGTCATTGGGAGGGTCGGCCGAGGCGGGGGGCGACGGACCGCGGACGAGCCGGCCTCGAGCGACACGGAGAACGAGGCCTCACGCGATACGGAGAATGAGGCCTCGCGCGATACGGAGAATGTGCCCCTACCGAGGCCTTCCCTGAATAGCCTCGGGCGAGACGGAGATGGCGTCCCCTGCCGAGGCCCGGCGCCCCCTGCCGAGGCCTACCCTTGGGAGCCTCGTGCGAGGCGGAGTTTGTTCCGAGACCTCCTGCTCGAGGCTCGAGGCGAGGTGGAGGAGGGCTCGGTCGTGGCAGGTGAGGGGCCCACGGCTTACCTTCTAGCTTTGTTTTGATGTTTGCTTGGGGTACCCCGTTCTAAGGTACCCGACAGTAGCCCCCGAGCCTCGGGGTGAGTGCGTGCACTCTCCCTGAGGGTTCGTCGAGGCCGGGTTTATGCCTGCTCCGTAGGAATTGGTTTGTTTTCTAAGGTTCCGGTGGGTGTGCTGAGCGCACTCCGCCGGGTGAGTTTCCTTCGAGCCCTCGGAGGAGTGAAGTTACTCCTCCGTGGGCTTTCTCCACTTTCGCGCTTGAGTGATCAGTTCTTATTGCATTTGCCGAGCCCATAAGCGCAAGTTCGGGTTTGCGGGGTCTCGGCGAGGTTGCAAAAGAGGCCTCTAGCCTCCGCATGGAGCGAGAGGTTCATCGTGGGTCCCCCGACGTTGGGTATGTCCCTCACGCTTCCTTTCGCCGGAAGGAGGGGTGGAATGTGCCATGCTACCTCGATGGGCGCGAGCGTGGACACTTTCGGTGAGTGTTATCGGGTAGTCCGAGTGGAGGCCCGAGCCCTGTTCGCTAGGGGACGGCTAGCGGTCCAGAGACGCACTCCAAAAGTACCGGAGGATTTTCTAGTGGGTGCCGAGGCCGTTCATTGGGCCTTGGTGGCTCGGTGCCTCCCTACGGTGGGATCCCATTCGGATACTTTTTCCTGTCGGTCTCGGACACGACTTAGGACGCCTGAGCGATCGCTTCGTTCGGGCTCGGGCCATTCAGAGGCTCGCCTCAAGTCGTCCCCCGACTACTGTTGCCTTCGGGCGGCTGTCGAAACCTCTTGGAGGCCCAAACCTTGAACCCCTGGACTCAGAACGGGCTCGGTGCCCTTTATCGTGTTTTTGTCTTGGTTTTTGGGTGCAAGAGGAGCCCTCGAGCCTCCGCTGGAGCAAGAGGACGGTCGGGGTCTCGACTTTTTCATTCGCCCCTCACATATCCTTTTCGTTCGGATGGAGGGTTTGTTTGCCGAGCCCATTCTCGTCTCGGCAAGATCGCAGAAGAGCCCCTAGCCTCTGCAAGCAGAGCGAGAGGGCCGCCGGGAGTTCCCCGACTTTTTATACGCCTCGCGTGTGAGGGGTTTGTTTGCCGAGCCCATTCGGTCTCGGCAAGGTCGCAGAAGAGCCCCTAGCCTCTACGCAGAGCAGAGCGAGAGGGCCGCCGGGAGTTCCCCTCGACTTTTTTATACGCCCCTCAAGGTGAGGGTTTGTTTGCCGAGGCCCCTTTGGGCGCGAGCCCAGTCGTGGGGTCTCGGCATATTTGCAGGAGGAGCCCCTAGCCTCTCGTGATAGGGCGAGAAGGCCGTCTGGGGTTCTCCCGACTTTTTATGCGACCTCGCGCTTCCTTTTCGCTCGGAAGGAGGGGTGGAACGTGCCTCGCTACCCTCGATGGGCACGAGCGGTGGCACTTCCGATGAGCTATTATCGGGTAGTCCGAGTGGAGGCCCGAACCCCGTTCGCTAGGGGACGGCTAGCGGTCCAGAGACACACTCCAAGAGTACCAGAGGATTTCTCTAGTGGGTGCCGAGGCCGTTCGTTGGGCCTCGGTGGCTCGGTGCCTCCCTACGGTGGGATCCCATTCGGATACTTTCTCGTCGATCTCGGACACGACTTTGGGCGCCCCAAGTGTTTTCGCTTCGCTTGGGTCTCGGCCCCGAATAGGCTCGCCCATGATCGCCTCGACTGTTATATCTCGGGCAAATTGTCGAAACCCTTTTGGGGTCCAGCCTTCGAACCCCTGGATCATAATAGGCTCAGAGCCCGGTTCCTTCCTATGAAAGGAACAGGCCGCGGGAAATATTTTCCCTATTGGCTCGGCCGCGAGTGGCGCGCCTTTTGAGGCAGTTTTATTAGGAGTCGAAACGGTACCTGCTGCCATAGTGGCCGAGCGTGGTGTGGTGGATGGGACGTAACCGTCCTCGCATTTAATGCGGGAGACATGGGCGTGTGGGCCGGTGAAATTGGCTCGTGGTTAACCGCGCCAGATTGGGGGGAAATCTCCCCGATTTCATCGCTCGCTCGTTTCGCCTCCTCCCTGCATAAATACCCGGGGAGTTTTGCCCCTCCTCGTCTTACCTTGCTCAGATCATCGCCGCCCGCCGCCGAGCCGTCGCTAGAGCAAATGAAAGCGGAGAAGGAGAGGAGGAAGAGCGAGCCTAGGAGGAAGCGAGAAAAGGTGAGAGCGTGGGAGGAGAGAAAGACTCACCGCCGCACTGATTCCCCAATAAGCACCCATGGCCGGTGATATCGTTGTCGTCGAGGCGGACCCCTGGGATCCGTCGGACATCACCGAGGAGATGCTCCAGTCGCTTGTCGACGGTGGGCTCCTCCGCCCGGTGACTGACTCCACCAGGCCGGAATGGATTGCTTCGTACGGCGAGCCGAAGCCGAGGCCTCGCGACGGCTATGTCGTAAGCTTCGTCTCCTTCCACGAGCGTGGCCTCAGCGTCCCGGCGGACCGGTTCATGCGGGCGCTTATGCACTACTACGACGTGGAGCTCCACAATTTTAATCCCAACTCCGTTGCTCAGGCGGCTATCTTTGTTGCCGTCTGCGAGGGGTATTTAGGGATCGCGCCCCATTGGGAGTTGTGGCTCCATTTGTTCCGGGCGGGGCATACTACAAAGCCGTCGGGCACGTCGGGAAGAGGAAGGCGACGAGGGCCGGAGGCAAGACTCTCCAAGTGCGCGCGCCAGACCGCCGCACCTCTACATCCCGCCCAACTCGCGCCCTCCAACCGCCGGTGGTACACAAGTTGGTTTTATCTCCAGAACGACGACGGAGGGCTTCCCCACACCGGGCGGATTGTGGGAGTTGCCTGGAGAAGTGGAAGTGGGCGCCCCAAGGTCGACCAGCCCAAGCTGGAGCCGCCTCGGAGGGGCCGGCGAGGGTCTGCGGGGCCACGGCCTCACCGCTGGGTGTGGTTGTGGCCGTGTTCCACGGGCTGAAGGGTGCTGCCGCGATGATGGCTGGCTGGGCGGCGGTTGTTCGAGATGAGGCCAGGTGAGCCCATTGAGGGCACCCGGATGTCCTCTTCCGCCCTTTCT